GTAACTAGTCTTATAACATGTATGTATCATTTTTTGTTGTTCATCTAAAGCTTTTTAATCCAAATAAATACAGAGTTTGCAAAGTGATTTGGATTAACCAGGTTTGGTTGTTCTGTTAAAGTTGTGTCAGATGTTAATTTCAAGCAGATTTAACTCCTGCAAGCCCTGATTTTATGCTGACGAGGACGGTGACTGCCAATTTAAGAGACTAAAGCTCCACAGGTGGAGATGAAAGTTAGTGTCCAGACCTCTGGTTCAGGGCTCAGGCTGCATTAACACAGAGCCAAATTTAGTCAGACTGCAGCCTGAAGTGCCCCACGCCACGCCTCAGGCTGGCAGTCAAGGAATTCCTACATGTCCTCAGCATGGGCAGAAATGCAGGTTGAAATTAAAATTGGAGAGTTACTGAGGGCGGAAAGTGAGGAAAGCATTGTCCTCTATCATAAAGCAGTAGAGCCCACTTCAAGTAGCTTGTCTGTGGCCAGAAGAAACAGGTGGCCCAGGTGTCTTTAACGTCTTTATAAACTCTTAAAACATGACCACGCTTTTAATAGAAAGTGTTGGTAAAGTCAACCAACTGTTTTCCTCTAATATCACTTTGCAAATCCCTGTGGTTCTGTTCTCCTGAATTTAGGATAGTACCACCATCTGTGCCCCGAGCATCTTTTGAACAATCATTGATGTTTAGCTAGACATCCCATCTGAACACTGAGCATACAAATATTGCTATTACTCTGTTACTTTTTTGTTTGTTTGTTTTGTTTTGAGACAGAACCTCACTGTCACCCAGGCTGGAGTGCAGTGGTGCAACCTCGGCTCACTGCGGCATGCGCCACCATGCCTGGCTAATTTTTGTATTTTTAGTATAGAGACAGGGTTTCTCCATATCGGCTAGGCTGGTTTCGAACTCCTGGCCTCAAGTGATCTGCCTCCCTCAGCCTCTGAAAGTACTAGGATTACAGGCATGAGCCACCGCGCCCAGCCTACTCTGTTCCTTTTTAGCCTGGAAGTATGCTAGGTCCCTGAATGAAAGTTCAGAACTAAACGAATTAATGGACTGTCCCTTTTCCCTGTTTTGGCTATTTCATGGTATTTATATCTTGCAGATAGCACATAAATGAGACAAGAAACTCCAGATTTAACACATGTGTGAAGACTAAGTACTAATATGCTTTACTAGGAGATAAATTACTTTGGAAAACAACAGGGTCCAACAGAGAGAGAGAGAGAGAGAG